AACAATTGTTTCTGGCTTCACATGATAGAATATTTATTTAATACGAACTCTAATACCTTCTCACTTAAGTGCCTTAAACTCCCCGGAGTGCCAGTTAAGCCAGGCCACATTTATCTTCCCATCTGACATTCAACTTAAGGTGAGATGGGCCCTGAGCTAAAGCATACTTTTCAGGGCCAGACAGATGGGCTAAATAGATGCAACAATAATTAACTGCATCAAGCCAGGCCCAAGACCTGGACCAGCTGGGCCTGGAGAGGAGGGGAAAAGTGAGGAAAAAGTGGAAAAGGTCGGGTCTGAGCCAGCCACACTCTCCTGCCTTTTAGCCAGCAGCTTAACTTGGCATTAACGCAATTTGTCACAGCAGAGCAGACACCAGAGAGCCGACAGCTTAGCCAGCTACCAAAAGTTTGCCCAAAAAAAAAGAAAATAGGCAACAAAAACGTATTCCTGTTTATGCAGATAAAGAAAAAGGTAACTGCAGGCCTCGTATAAATATACATACATTTCTTTTTTTGGTTACAGAACTGTAGGTAGAAAGGTAGAAAACATTGAGCTGACAGGTGAAGTGAAATTGCGGGGGCTGCATTTCTTTACCGAGAATTTTCCACCTCAACCTTGGTTTATCCATATACCTTTTTATTCGAAAGCCACAACTTTGAATGCGTGCTATGGAAATGAAAAATTCCCCACAAAACATTGACAGCTCGAGAAGAAAACTTGCGTACGCATTTTCCACTTGAATTTCCAGTGGTCTAGGGCACTGAGATTTAAACAAGAACTGTCAGACGAGAGAGCTTTTTGGTTACAGGACCTACAGTACTATTGTACTACAGAATGGTCTAGGATATAATAAATAAAGAAATATAGGATAACCATGGAAAACCACTTGAAACCTCGCTTTAAACTCTCGTTTTAATCTGCCTCTTGTGGCACATAAATCTTTGTGCCCATGTTGCAGTCGCCGCAATTAGAAAACCTGCCACTCAGTTGCTCATTGATAGCTTTAAGCTGCCACCGCCACTTGCCTCGGCCGTCTGCCGCCCACCACCACTAACCACTTGCCACAAAAGAGCCGGGCGACTACTCAGCAAAATCGCGCATACGACCCGTGGGCAGCTGCATCAGCTCGAATGGCAGCAAATCGCCTTAGCAGCTTGTGGGGAAAACCCTAATAAACCAGCAAGAAAGTGCACAGTTAAGCCTTCTGCTGCCACGCCCATGCCGCCCCAGCCAGTAGGCGTTGACTTCAACTTTGACCAGAGCCATTTAAATCTCTGGCTGGGAAGGAATATAAATTTAAGAATGCCCCGCTTACTTATCTAAGTCTATGACTTTGGGTTAGGCATTCCGATGAGTCAGAGCATTGGGATCTGAAACTGATGAGGAAGAATGGAATTGGGGGCTGCTGTGGGGGGTGGGCGGATTGGGGTTTTGGACCATGGCTGCTGTGCTTTTTATGCCCGCCATTTTGCTGCTGTCTTTTGGCCGCCTCTTCTTGCTACAAATCATGATAATAAATTCCAATTTTATTTAGTCAGTGAGGCGGCAAAGCACCCTTGTCATCGTCATCGCCATCGCCGAGGGTCGGGAATCTGGCAACCGCTTCATCTTCAGCCTCCACCGAATAAAAAAATAAAGGGTCCTTGCCCCTTGTCCCCTTGCCCCACCCCCCTCGGAATGCCCCTCTTTTCTCACAACTACTTGGATTAACGGTTCATTTTTATGACTTTTTATTTTATATACATTCCGGTTTTCCGGCATTTCCGACTTTTCCGCCTTTACCGTCGCCGCCGCCGCCGAAGCCAGTTAAATAAATACACTCCGGAATTGACTTGGCCTGCTTAACATTTGGCCAGACATAATCTGGTGCCTGATTATAATGAATAGTTCCCGGGCCAGGCCGAAATCGGCAAACAGCAAAAAGGCAAAGCCAGACAGCCAGACACCAGTCGGCCAGCTCATCAGTCAGTCAGTGCAGTTTGTTGCCTGAAGTGGACCACAAAGCCTCTCGTTATTCCGCATCCTGCCCTGTCCTGCCAAAATCCCCGACCCTTTGGAAACTAGCAGAGAGCTACTGCTGTTGCAACATCAGCGGCGGCCAAAACACATTAGCCGTGTGCTAAAAATGTCACACAACAGGGCCGGCTATACGCACACATCTTTCATTCAGAGGGTTGATTCAGGACTTTTAGGAAGGATTTTAGAGGTATCCTAAAAGGATACTCTCTAAATACACAAATTTTAGTAAACAAATTTTCTTAAATATTTTCCTGAAAACTTAAAGATTTTGGAGCACCCCTCGCTGCTAGTGACTGACCAAGCTGAGGACTGCATTTTTTCCTGCTGTTGTTGTCCAAGCTGAGCTGGCAGGACATGTGGCAGTTGCCAGTTTGCTGCGCTTACCCTCCCCTGCGCCTGTGCCACCCCTTCCTCAACCCTGGTTCTCCCTTTGGCTGCGGCTCTTCATTGCCTGTTGGCAATTACAACGTTGCAATGTTGATGGCATTTTCTTCCTTTTTTATGCATACACACACTCACACTCACACATGTACCAGTAACGAAGCTCACAGACAGCCAGCAGCTTACAGGACATTCGGAAAAATGGATAAGCAGTGACCAGAGGCTGTGCGGGGTGCAGGGATCAGTGGCTAGTCACTTCCGCCTTGCCTGAAGAGGTCGTTCATTTTTGCAAAATACTCTTTCTGGTTGCCTGAGTTTTCTCAGCCGTTGATTGCATTTGCCTTTGTGATGGAAAGGAACTAATTATGGCTCAAAGGGCTCAGATTAGTTAATAAAAATGTAAGGGGGAACCGTAACTAATAAGTTTAAAATTTCACAGAAAGGGTGAGCCTTCAAAGTGTATAAATTTCATCTGATAGTGCATATGATACTGCTAGCCAATCCCTGATTTCCTACCACCTTCCCCCAAAGACAAACTTTTAATGTAAATATATCTTACAGCATTATCGCATTTGGTAAAGAGGGTAAACTTCACTTTTTCCACCAGACCAGAGTCCTGGACTCTCATTGCAACATTATCCGTAAAAATAAATTCATCTGGGGGTTGATTTCCTGCTTTTTTTGTGGGTGGTTGCAAGTGGATACAATTTATTTTGTTTCGCACTCACACACATCCCCTCCTCTCTGGGGCAAACAAAGTGGTTTTTGTTTTTTAAACTAAGCCATAGCTATAGCTATAGCTTCATTATAATAAAATCGATGAGGGGTATCAGGTCGGGCCAGGGGGTTGGGATGGAAACTACCCTTTGAGTGTGAACCAGGGGGTTAATGAGATTGATAATCAAAGGAACTGACTCTCTGGTTTAACTCGGTCTCAAAAGAGGTTGATTCAATGACCGAGGTAAAGCTTTTTGAATTGAATTTTAGCAGGACAGGACGCAAAACCGGGGGAACACGACATCTTCATTGGTCCTGCAGCAGTTAGTTCATGCAAGAGGCGACCCGTTGTCAACGGATTGGTGTTAATGTCCTTTGGCATTGTTGCAGGAGCAGGAGCAGTAGCTGGTGTCCTGGACTTGGGCCACAAGTCGACTGTGTGCAAAATAGACTGAAATTGATGATGTCACTTGATAGGGCGAATGGGTTTTTCATTTTTCACTTCTCACATGCACTCCTCCGGCACATCCTGCTCCTCTTCGTCCTGTTCACGTTGTTTAACAAATTCATCCTGTTGCTTGCGCTCCAGTGCGTGATGGCCAGCAGATTGCATTGTCTGCCCAAGATTGGCAGTTTCTGTGTGTTGTCCGAAATGGGCATTTGATTTGCACACTCACTCGCACTCCAAATATTCACAGTTTTTGGCAATAGAAATGGGGAACAAGGCTTGCTGTGCATCGACCTGTTTGATTGGCTTTTCTTTTTGGCACGTTTTTAATTAGTGAGTGCGAGTCAGAGGCAGAGGGGCAAAGGAGTACAGGGGTGAGGATGGAATGTTGTCCTTTTTGGCGCATTATACAAACGAAATATTTCATAAGCGCATTGCGCTTCGGCCACAATGCCAAATGATTTATATGCAAAGTGCCATAAGCATACAAATGAGTGTGTGTGTTTTTATGTTCCTGTGCCTCTGAGTGTGAGTGTGTGTGTGGCGGCCTCTATTTTCCTTCCCCCCAAAACAATTTCCCAATTTCCCCATGTTACCTAGGCCAAACAAACCGGTAGCAATCGAGCGAACTTCACTCCACAGCTTTGGCTACAAATTTTCCAAAATTTATAACAAAGGCTCAGGCACACTAACTCACATTCATGTATATATATGCATGCATAATTGTGTGTGTTTGTGTGAGGTCCTTGGTATCCCCAGGGTATTGGCTACCTTACGGTTGAGTGGCTCACGGCTCATGGCTCCCAGGCTCATGGCACTTTGGCGCCCCAACCTTGGCTTTAGCATCAGCTCCTGCTCCTACTTCTGCTCCTGGGATCCTTTCTTCAAAATGGATGACAATGTATCCAGGAGACTGTAAAATTTATGCACTTTTAGGATTGTTTGCAATGCGCTCGAAAGGGGAATTGTTCCATTATGCGATAAGCATTGGGATTCTCTAAAGGTGTCTTCAATATAGCAAAGAAACTGAATCACATATATCTATAGTCTGATTGAAAAATTAATTTTTAACCCAGTTAGTTGTAAAGGGAATTTATGATTGGCTTGTAATTATTTTAAATATAAACTGTAAATGTAATTAAATATTATAGCCACTAGATAGTAATCCTAATTCAAGCTGAAAGGTGATTAAAAATACAATAATGACTAAATTGCATCTAAGCCGGGGATTTTAAATATTTAATTATGGAAAAAAGCAGCTGGCAAAATCAATTTAATCCTTGACAATCCTGATTATCCCCAACTCCCCACCACCTACCCACTAAATGCCCAAAGCCTGATAGCCGCGACTAGGATTTCAGTCTCCTTTTCGCGAAATCAGCATTTCTGTTGTGCTCCCCTCCCACCTGGCTTGATTTATATCCTTGCTCACCTTGTTGGAATTGCCATTGAATTTCAATAGCTTCTTGCAGGACTTGCCGCGGCTCTCAAAGTAGATTTCCTGCGGCGTGCGTCGCCGTCGCTGTCCGGAACATGCCGTGGTGGTGCCACCTTTGCGTTGCAGTTGCAGCTGGGAGAAGGGATCGCTGCTGTTGTACTCGCTACCCGCCACCGATTGCGTGGCTTTGTGACGGCTAACACAAAAGAGGCGACTCAAGATGCCACAACAGCCGCTCGGCGGCGCCGCCGAGGAAGTTGCCTCACTTCCGGTTGTTGCCGTGGCTGCTGTTGCTGTTGCTGTTGCCGTGGATGCATTGTTGTTGGAACAGCGGGCGGATATGGTCATTAGGTTGCCATGGCGGCCTGGCGGGCGATTAACGTCCATTTCCATGTTGGCTAGCAGCAAATTGGTTGCCTACCCGTCCTCGGCGTCGTCCTTTGTGGGATTTTATCAATTTTGCAGAGTTTGTTTACTATTTTTGATTGCGGTTTTGTGTCAACTTTCGCCCGCCGCAGGCTCTTCCTGTTTGTTTATTTGCTCGCCTGTTTGTGTTGTCCTTTCCCCCTTATTTTTTTTGTTGCTCAATGTCTCAGTTTACTGTTGTCCTTGCTGGGTTTTTTTTTTGGGTTGGTGGTGTTAGAGTCTCACCGAAAACTTGGCGCCCTCCCGCACACACACACACACTCAGTAACTACGCACTCAGACTGGAGGTGGGAAATTTTGAAACATTTTTAAGAAAATTCGCAGCGCGACGAAGTTCACAGGACGAGGGCAAAAGGATAACTGATAAAAGTCACAGCTTCAGATTCGTGTAGCTTCCTGTGGCAGGGTTGCCAGACTGCCAACCGAAAGCGACGGAGCGACCAGCAGAGCCGGAGAGCGCCAGTGCCGAGCGGAAGAGAGAGTGCGCAGACCGACTCAAAGGACCCCCACATGAATCACCTTGTGTGCATGAATGAAGTAAAGTTATTACGGTTTCCTGCTTGTTTCTGTTGTTGTCCTTACTCGTATTTCTTTTTTTTTTTTTTTAATGCTCCGTATAGTTCCGTAGTTCTTGCTGTTTACGTTTCCCAGGGTCAAAGTTGTACAGCCTTTCGCTTTATGTTTGTAATTGTTTGAGCGGCAACCGAGCGACGCCTCCCTGTTAGAAGGGCGCAAAATTTTTGGCTTCTCCGTGGGGGCACCAAAAAAGGGTATCAAGCCGGGTTTTTAACTGGCTTTTACGAGGGGTAATTAATGGGGCGCTTATCAAGTGGGAATGCCCATAAAAAGTTATATGAAATGTTAATAGTTCTTAATCGAATTAGTTTAATTCTGGCATTGATTTAAAAGACTTTTACATACAATATTTCTTATTATTGTTTTACTTGCTCTGTCTGAAATTTAATTACATAATTTTGTATCAACTTTTGACCTTTTTTGACCTTTGTGCTGCGTAAATTTATTTTCCAGCATACCCTGAGTAACAATTAGTTGTAACTAAAGCCCCAAAAACAATTTCATTTTGGCCAACATGAATGAGATGAAAGAAGAGCCATCCTCCCATCCGGCCATCCTGCCATCCTGCATGTATGTGTGTGTTTTTGTTATGTTTGTGTGGTAGTGTGGCAGTGTCTATGACTATGAGTGCTTTCTGCTCTGCTCTAGACGTAATTTCAATGTTTCAACGTAATCTTTGATTTGATTATGCTGTTGAGCTTCCCAAGAGTACGAGCCGGTGCGGGCCGTGCTGGGCCAGAATGGGCGGTGTTTGTGTTTGGCTGTGTTTGTTGGCTTGTGTCTGGGCCACTTCCGGGCAAAGCTATAAACGGATTATAAAGTAATTTAATGCTTTTTGTTGTCAGCCTCCTTTGGTAGGTCCTAGGTCCTGTACTAAAACACTGCCACGCATACTAGATATATAAAGTATATATATGGATGTGTCTTTTTTCGGTTAGAACGCATTTGGACAATAAAAACTTTTAATGTTTGTTGTTTGTCTCTCAATTTCATTTCGCATCACGCATACGCCCTGTTGGCCGGCGCAAAAGTTGTGCGCTCCTTTAATGAGTTGAGTTGGCGGTTTTAGTTGAGCAGTGGCCAGAAAACATTCCGGCCACCGTAATTAATGTCAGCTTGTCTGGCTGATCATTTTGGCAACATGTTTATCTGGCCCCATGCCCATATATAAATGTCCTCGCACACACTCACACTGGCACACGCACTAGCATTCCGTTAGATTGTCACATTAATTATGTACGTTAAGCTGTCAACGTGGGCAATATTTTTGTATCCACAATGTCCTGCTGCCGTCCAGGACACACGTATGCGTGTTATGCTCTTTTATCCTTGGCGATTCCTTTGCCATTTTTCTTGCTTTCATCTGGGGCGATAAGAGCGTCTTAGTTTATCTTTATGTCCGGGGCTTTCCATGTTAGCTGTTTGCCAAATAAATACGTTTGATAATGCGACACGACCACCATATTGATGAGCCTTCCGCTTGCTTGGCCTTCAATGGAATGGAGTGCCAAACACAAGTTAAACAAGCAAATAGATTACAAGGATGCTTCGTGTATCCTGCAGGTTGCAGCAGATGACTGATTGAAAGTCAACATTTTGCGTTGCATACTTTCCGGGGAGGGCAGAACTTTAAAAAAGTTATTAGTGCTCTATGAATAATTTTTGGCTCCAATCAAATACCATTTCCCCAGAAAATTCCACTCATAATTTAATAAATATTCCTCTGCAAATGGGTAGCCAAAAAAAAAATGCTTCTTTTATTGCCTGAAACTTTACATTCGGTCTCAATTACGCACCAATTTCTGAATCTGGCTGTGAGTATGAGTGTGTCGAATCCTGTTAGCAATGAAAACTCTGCAACTGTGGCCAAAAATGAAAAGTTCCATTGCATTTGGCAAACTAAAAGAAAAAGAGAGCAAAAAAATAAAAAACAGAGAGATATACTCTCGTATAGAACTGTTGCCTAATTGCAAAAATGCTGCCGGCCAAACACACAACCGAAAAAACTTTTTTTGGCCTGGCCAAATGAAGGGGAATGGGCACGAATAATCTTCCTACCAAAAAATGGAAACTACGCTAAAAGCTTTAAAAAAAAAAAAAAAATAAGAGGGAAGAAACTCAATAAAACTGAGGGGGCTAGGACAGAGGTAGAACTAGAAACTATTGAGGCGGTAAATGGCAAACGGAAAAGTTTGCAACGCATGCGCCAGCGGACCAGGACCACGACAGGATGCCAGGACATTTGGGAGAGTGATGCAAGTGCACCGACAACGGCACCGACAACGACAACGGCATGTAAATGACGCTTTTATGCTGCAATCACGTTTCTTTTTCTACTTGTTCTGTACAGTTTTTATGGTTTTTTGTTTCATATGCAGTGAAATTTTATGATTATTGCCGGAGCGACAAAAAAGTTTGCCGCAAAAACTTTAACAGGAATGTGTGTAAGAGGATCCGGACTCGGTCCTCCGGAGAACCTCGAAATGGGAGCAGCTTATGGGGTACGGTGAGATGAGTTGAATGTCATGCTCTGATGCCTTCCATATCCTTTTTATTTATGTTTTAACACCACCCACCTGGCTAGGCTAGGAGTGTGTGTCCGGAATGGTGGGGGCTATTGCATCGCACTTTGGTAAGTAGATGAAAATGACGACATCGTCATCATGGACTGTGTGGAGTGCATGAAATTTATGCAAATGCACGGAATTTGTATGAAAATTGTTTTATTCCATATAGTCATCCAGTCATCCCGTCATCCGGTCGCACTGTCACACGCACTCATAAAGCACGCTCGTGTCATTGTCTTGTGCTTAAGCAAGAAATTACTCATACCACATGTTGTCCGTTGGCTCTGCTGGCTCCGCTGACTCCCGGTATCCTTCGTCCTCGGGGAGCCATCGTTTGTTGGCCCGTCAGTCTCCCGCTGTGTGTTTTATGCAAATTTCACCGCTGTGCGCAACAATGTTATTAAAAAATGATAACAAGCCAAGCGCACAACACACAGAAAATAAAAGAACAACGACTAGGAAATCCTAGGAAATAGACGACTATTTGGTATCCTAGAGAATTGGAAACTTCTAAGCCTAAAACTTCACTAAACTTTGCATTTATTTCCAATAATCATGAATCATTTTTATAAATACCACTTTTTCATTTCAATATTTCAAAGAATTGCCATCGATTTCTGCCATTCGATATACCTTTTAAATAAACATATTTTATAGATTGTGGGGAAAGCACAACGACAACTGTCAGTTAGACGTTTGTTGCGGCTTGCCCCTTGTCAACTTTTTTAGTGTTGCCTGTTTTTCCCGCTCGTGATGTTGCTCTTGTCATTTGCATGCGTTCCCATAGAGCTACAGGGAGGGCGATGGACAGAGAGTCAGCCAGGACATCAGCCAGGAAATTATGCAGTGAAATATGTTGCCACAGCGAGGGAAAAACAAAACACCCAACTAAACGCACAACAAAACAAAAGATCCGACAAGGAACCCAGTCAGGAATATACTTACATACCAAAATATGTATGTATTTCAGACGTCTTAGGAAATATGACAGACTGACGCACCAAACATCCTTATGGCAGGAGCCAGAAGGAGGTGGTATTGTAGGTCGTCCTTATGCCAAAACTTGCAACTTGGCCACGCGACCGCATGTCGAGAGTCAAGGAGGGATTCGAGGCAGGAGCTTGTTACAAATGTAAAAGGAATGTCAAAAATTTCCAGCTTCCTTCATGCGGCATTAGTTTTGCAATTTGAATGGCAAGCATTCCGGGAATGAAACATTTTTGGCTCTGAAGCTCCGAACCATTAGACGAAGCAGCCCCAACCACTTTAGTTTTGTGGCAAGGACAATAAACAGTTAAGGACTTTATAGAAATTTAATTATTTACCAAAACTCGTGCCTAATCTCTTGATATGTGATATGTCAGAATCGCATTTGATATTTGAATTTGTAAAGCCCTTGCCGAACGGCAATATCCCGCATTTGATTTGCTTTATTTTATGGCAGCAGAGCGTTTAATTTTTGGCATTTTCGAGAGAGATATGCCTGCCTGCTGTCATGGGCCATGGCTAATTACAATGTGCAATGGCGAGGCAGACTTTTTGTCGGATTTCTGACGGCTTGGGCTATGAGCTTTAAGCTGTATGTGTGTGTGTGAGCTGTGATAAGCGCAGCTGCCAGAGATTTGAGGGAATCATTTCATTACCACACACACATGTCCTTGTACACACACACCATCATGAATGAGAGCCATTTAACTAGAACTTTATTGTTATTGCGAGCAGTGTTGTCTGTAATTTTGTAGCTTAAACCAAATCCAATTAAGTAACAAGCGTAAGCCTTTTTGGCAAATGTCGACAACGACGACACATTGCCTCGTTTAACCCATTTAATGTTGCACAGACAGCGGCGGTGGCAGTGGCAGGGGCCAGTGGCCTGGTGGGCGGTGGGCGTTAGTCAGACATGCCAAAAACCAAAGCTGATAATTTCAATCAATTTTAAGCCGGAGACAAAGCGACATAAGGGTAACCAATTTAGCCGTTTTGCAGTTGACTGCCTGCAATTACCAAACTGGGAATTCCATGGAAATTGACTCGTAAACGGGCCAACAACTTTAAGCTCAGTTCTGGTCTGATGCAGTTCTAACTGATTTTCTTGGCCAATTTAGGAAGCAGTTTTTTCTTCGTCTTCTAATCAAACGGACAAGCTTTAAGCCAATTAGCTGGATTCTCTGATGTGATAAACAGTTAGTCTGGCTAAAATAAAACATGAATTCTTTTATTTTTTATTGT